AGCATTCACAAAATGCAAACCAAAAGGCAACAATGGTGTCGATAAGGGAATTGCAACAATCAATGCACAAAGGCTGTTCAGCACTATAGCAATCAGTATAAATTAGAGATGGGATGAAGATGTTGGTGGAAAACAAAGGTGTGAAATAGAATTTACAAGAAACAGTCAAAGCCATAACAAGAAAAGGTTCATCAAAACGGCACAAAAACTAAAAAGGTGTTTGATGATGAATTTTCATATCAAAAGCTAGCTTGCATGTAGAATATATAAAAGGTATACATCTTTAAGGACAAAAGATGCATGCTTATTCTGACCTATTAAAAAAAATTCCATTAACAAACCATGATCTAAGTACTATCGAAGTAAAAAATGATGAAAAAGTTATTATGATCAAAACAAGAAATTGAAGTTCCAACCTTGCATGCAAAACTTGACTTGTTGGAATAAGAAAATACAATTCAAAATGATGAATAACTATCTGGTGATCAAAATATTCATAATTTACATGTCAAAATTGGCATCTTACAAAGTACAAATACTATCTTAAGAACTAGACAAGATGACTCATTTCCTACTTCCATTGATATTAGTTTTAGATCTTATATGCATGCTACAAGAAATTTACATTGCAAATTTCATATGCATACACAATTTCAATCAAGAAAGCAAAATAAATCTAAAATTGGAATTTCATTTATGCATGTTTTGCCAAAAGCTACGAACCATTATTATATTAAAAATATTTCTCTCATTTGCAAATTTAGGTTAAATTATACAGAAAAGTTTATTAGGTAAAGTGACCCATCATGCATCCACCTGCAAAGCACAGATCATGCACATAGTCTAATGTAAAGAGACCCAAATCAGTTTAAGAACCAAAAATCAGGATTAGATTTGCTGTAGTAAATATCCATCAAAGTAGGAAAGTTGGGAACATGCGATACTTGGATGGTGATTGTTCAAAGCAAGTGATTGGAGACAACCAAATTTGAAACACTATAACTAGGAATCAAGGTCAAATAACTCTTTGCAACAATATAACTAACACGATCTCTTTGTTTTTAATCGAAAAGGCCTCTTAGTAAATGGATTAAAATATATCTACTAAGTATAAGTTTGATGATCTAAATATAATTGGAGGAATGCTAATATTTTTTTATGTTAAATACAAAATATAGAGGTGAGGTGGTGTCACAGAAGTTTGTGAAAATAAAGTTAGAAACGCTAAAAATACAAATGAAACAATTTCAAGCTGATGGTCAAACCAAATTGAGTACATCAACCTTGCTATGTAAGAAAATCAAGCATCAACAAAATAATTTTGTTTAAGATTGATTCATTTAATATTGTATGAAAAGTATTAATTAAGTAAAGAATGGCTTGGACACAGAATTAAATAAAATTTAATTATAAAACTACATTTGGTAAGAAATCAAATCTTTGCCAAATCATTTACTAAAATATGGAATGAACTGTCCGATCCACATTAATTTCAAACCGTAACATAGTCATTGCACTCAAATCAATTACATTAATTATATTCATTTATGAAACATACCATACAATCTTTACGATTTATTCTAAAATAAACAAATTGCACCGTACAATTATGATTGAAGAACATGATCATTTAGTAAATCAAAATCATACTAACCACGCATAAGGTCAAATGACTACAAACCACATGTACCAGACAAGAAATCACTTCCCACTTCATCCATCAACCAAATTGTCGATGTGGTCTACTACCCTATGCTATCATTTCTCACTTCTAATGTGCAACCAAACAAGCTTTTCTTACGCCTCGATCTTCCTCGAGGCTTACGCATCGCCTCGCTTAGCCAAAACGCCTCGATTCCCGATTTCGCCTTTTAAAACGTTGGTTAGAAAATATTATGATGACCTTACTTTATTAGATTTAAACAAGAATTTGACTTTTAATATAACACAATGGAGAAAAAGGATTCATGTAGCCAACCCCACGTAGTGGGATAAAAGCTTGATGTTGTTGTTGTTGTTGTAATCCATAATACCATTACACTAGCAAGGGTCTCTATAAATAGGCCTCAAAAATAAAAGAGATTAAATAAGATTATCATGCCCCTAGGGTTTACATAAGATTAGACTCTTAAGGGAAAAATTAGAAAATGCATAATTAAAACAAAAATTTAAGATAACGTAGGACGATCACGGCCGTCAATCTTCAGCTCCTCCTCGAATAGGCATGGACGGTTGGATGTCCGCATCATTCTCCTGGGGTGGAAAAGAACTCGACTCTCTCGAGTTCACATCTCGGGTGAGCAACCATGCTCTGATACCAAACTGATGTAGAAGAACAGCAAGATTTGATGTACCGGAGCTTTTGGTCAGCAAGTAACGCCTTTCCGGAGGACTAGACAGAAAGGATCTTGGCTGGAATTTTCTGGCCAGCAAGGGAAAAGTCAACTAGTAAGCATGACAGCGAGTATTCCTGCTGAAATTTGAAGATAGCAGAGAGAAATCTGCCTACAGGAATTTTGGAAAGCAAGGAGAAGCCACGAGAGATTCAGGACAACACTTACTCTCCATCTGGACATCAAAGGATTTGTTTTTGTATGCAGGACAGCAAGCTTGCAATGTGAAACCCTGCAGGAATTGGTGTTGGGAGGGATGAAATAAGGGCTTGGTCAACTAATTTAAGGTAAAGGAGATGGGAAAGTGGCCGGCAATAGGAAGGAGGGGAAAAAGGAATTTAATTCTAGTAAATTTGAATTTGAATAGGGAGGAAAACGGATTCAAAAGTCTGAAAATAATCTCAGCCTTAAGGGAAGGAAATAATTGGGCTTTGATTGATTGATTTGAGGATCATTAATGGGCCTAGGAATTAATGGGGAAGATTTGAATTGGGGAGAGAGGGTGTCTAGGTTCATTGAATGTGGGGAATTGAATTAAATCTGAATTTATTTCAGACTGAAATAAATTCAAGTGGTTTCCTAAGATGGAGTAGTTATTTAAGGAAAGAATTTGAAATTCAAAATGATTTGAATTTGAATTCAAAATCTTCCTAAATAAGTAACACTATTTTAGGAAAGTAGAAAAATTAGGGTGTGGGTAATTGAATCAAATTTGAATTTATTTCAGATTGGAATAGATTGAAGTGGTTTCCTAAGATGGAGTGAGTTATTTAGGGAATGAATTTGAAATTCAAAATGATTTGAATTTAAATTCAAAATCTTCCTAAATAAGTAACACTATTTTATGAAAGTAATAAAATTAGGGTGTGGGGAAGGGCAAGATTAGGTGGAAAGGCAGGCAGCTATGCTTGGTGGGAGCCGACGGTTTAAGATGGAGGGGATCGGTTTGGATTTTGGTTGGAGTAGGGGAAGAGGACGGCGGGTTTGTGTGGAGGAGGGGATGAAGCCGGCGGATTGGGGAGAAGATGGAGGTGGTGATTAGGAAAAATAAGAAGAAACAAAAACAAAGAAAAAAACCGTGAGCCCGAACGCTTCCTGCAGCTGACGGGGGATACGTTGCCCTTCGCCAAGATACTTCAAGCCACAAGCCCGACCCATCCTGCAACTGATGGAAACTACGATTCTCTCCCATTGGGATCTCACCAAAGTTCTCCCCAAAGAACAAGGAACTTTTATTTGGTCCGGTGAACGTACGCTACTCTAGGTTCGGCCGCCAATATTTTAGCGACACGTAGCATAAAGAAAAGTAGCTGACCCGACCCGCTATTTTTTGGGTTCTAGCGCGTGCGTTTTTTTAAATCCTTGACGAGCCATAAGACGATCATGCCCCTAGAGCTTACATAAGATTAGACCCTTAAGTAAGGGTAAAAATGAAAAATGCATAATTAAAATAAAAATTACAAATAAAAATTTAAAAAAACGTAGGACGATCACGACCGTCGATCTTCAGCTCCTCGGATAGGCATTGACGGTTGGATGTCCGCATCAAAAAGTGTTGCAACTTCAGTATTTTGAAATAGCAAATTATAGTTTGACATATTAAAAAATTACATGAAACCTAAATATAATAGATTTTAGTACTTCAGAACTATTATTATAAAAATTTGGAAGGTAACTTTTAAAAATGAAGTAAATTAGATGGAGAGGTTCTAAAGACTACTATGTAAAAATGTTAGAAGGCTATCCTAACGGGATCAAAGTGTTAGGAAACAAAAAACATTCCCTATTAATCAAGTAAGAGTATTGAAAAAGTGAAAATGTCAAGATAGACAATAGTAAAATTATAAAAGATAGATTAAAGAACGATATATTAAAGAGATGGAGTATCATTTATTGAAGATAAAATAACTAAAAAATGAATAGATAATTTAGATATATAAGCAAAGGGTAGAACATGAACTAATAAGCAGGGAAATTAAACTATATTAGGATAAACCTAATTTTTCTATTTTGCATTATAGTTGGGGATAACTTTCAAACACATGCATATTTTCCACTCCATTAAAAGTGGAAATTCAAAACAATATATGGTTCAAATAACAAAAACTGCAACAAACTTTTGAATAAATGGTTATCTTGACGATGCTAGACTGCTGTCTTTTGTAAGAAAGAATTTTTTATTTCATCAAAGAAATTGTAGAAGCTGCGCCTTTGGCACAAAACTGACAATCTCCAGCATTATCCTTCAACCCAAACAACATTTCCTCCAGTTCAAGTCACTCTAAATGTAGTTTCATGGGTCCAACTCATGGGAGTGATAGAAGGTTATTATTAAGACACATTTAGAGGCTTTTATGGCCTTGGGTAAGTCCAGATAAAAGGAATAAAAAAAAACCTGCCACCGGAAATAAATAAGAGTCATGCTATTGGTAACATACCAATGATGGTAGCCAACAAAGCCTGGTGGTTAAGAAATGGCAATAGACCAAAGTTTGGCATAGTCAACTAGGAAGGTTTGGGTTCAACTTTATTCGTAAAAAATAAATAATAAACAATAAAATATTGGATTTAGATGTAAAGAGAAATAATAATTATGAAAGGACGAACCTTTAGCATTTTGACACCCTCCTCAAATGTAAGTCGTAAGGTCTTCCGCAAATACTACCATAGCAATACATTGAAATTTATTAGAATGTTACAGCTTAAATATGTTAAACAGAAACATAAATAGAGTGGATAAAATATATATAATGGTCAAAATTATGTTATACTAGGGGAGAGAAGCTTACTATCACATATGAAACCAGATTCTTTTTACCTTCAATGGCTTAAAGGGAAATTGTCTGTTAATTGCATCAAGTAGCTTCTTGCATTTATCATTCAAGTAATCAAACATTGTTACAAACAATCTGTCCACAATATCTAAAACCTGTATGTAATAAAACAAATACCTAGATTAGAAAAAGCTCCGCTACTAGGATTAGAACATGCAAAATTATCTCTCCTCACCTCAAAATAATGCTCTTTAATCTCCATTTCAACATCAAGACCAACAAATTCGCACAAATGCCTATGAGTATATGAATCTTCTGCCCTAAAAACTGGACCGACTTCAAATACACGCCCAAAACCAGCACAAATAACCATTTGCTTGTAAAGCTGTGGTGATTGAGCCAAGCAAGCAGGTTGACCTTTATAGTCTAGCTTGAAAACAGATGCACCTCCTTCACTTGCACCAGCTATTAACTTAGGTGTGTGAATTCCAACAAAATCCTCAGATCGCAAAAAATCTCGGAAAATCTGTGGCAAATGCCTCGAATGGTTAGATAGTAGATATTAACGTTTAGATTTTCATAGCATAGCTGGTAGAAGAAAAAATTCGGTAAGTGTGAAATTTTTACATGCAAAATAAGCTATACCAATATCCTAAAAAATAACTGAAAATGGATGGAAGGCATAAAGAAAATTTGCAAAATTGAAGGTGATTAAAATATAAGCAATCTCATACAGTTAACAAGCTGAAACTAGTCAGTAGACATTGACAGAAATAAGCGTGATAAGGAAATGATGCCTTACATCTTCCACGGAACATTGAAGACGAAAAATTGCTTGGTTTGCAGGAGTACGTAAATCAAGAACTCTATTATTCAATCGTGTATCTTGGTTAACACGAACAAGTTTTTCCCCAGTCTGTGACATACCAAGTAGATCACAGTTAATCATGATACAATAAATTGGCAAAGGTTAGAAAAATTGAGGATAGAATTCATAAATTGATAGGTGTTACTTTCATGTCATCAAGGGTGAGAATTAGCTTCTTTACTATGATATAACTGAGATTTTACAAATTATAATTCACCTTTTCAGCCTCTTTGATTTCTTCCTCACTTCGAGCTGCATCCTCAATATTTATAGGAAGGTTCGGAACAGCTCTGTTAATACAGTACAGCTTTCTGACTTGAATCTCCACCTAAGAAAACACAATGAATGGGAGTACATTCCAGTAGCATTAGTATTGAGGGAAGGCATTCAGCAGTGCATAAGCCAATCTTAATAATGTCCATATTTTTAAGCACACCAACAGTATGTAATAAACAACCAGAGCAAATGGCAAACCAAAATAGCAGAACAGTAAACACGAAGCAGAAATTGCTTGAATAAAAAGGATGTGCAAAAATACAATGAACTAAGTTACAATTATAACATGATTAGCGATGCAATTAGCCAATGCAAAAGGAAATTCTACATATAAAGATTATATTGCTTAACACAAAGCAGCATGTATGTCTTCATTCAATCTCAATCAATACTCCAAACTGCTTATCCGTTACACACTGCTGGATCCCCAGAAATTAAGTTCATTCGGAAAAGCTCATTCAAGAGAAGGTTGCTTTTATAAACTTAAAACTCAAAAGAAAAAACAGTTATCTGCAAACTGAATAATTTATTAGAATAAATATAGTGACCCTGGTCAACTTAGATTTATCATAAATGAAAGAAGATTTTTCGAAGTCCACAATTAGAAACAAATCCGATTTTGTAAAGGCACATAGTCACTTGAATATTGAAGTTATTTAAGTCATGAAACCAAGCATACATTGTACATATTACCTCAAAAAGGCAATTGAAAACAGGTGACCTCTACATAAATTATGCAGCATGCATGATCCATTGTTGAAAATGACGACAAGAAAGGCGTGTACAGCTATATAGAAGAGAAAGACTACTGTTTTTTCTTATTTCAATGAGAGAGAAAAAGTAAAATAAATATAGGCAAGCATGGAGAACCAAGGAGGGACTGGCAAAGAGTCAAGGAAGAGTAGAAAGTAAAAAATATTGGGGTAGTAAATGGACAATATCATCCTCTTAATGAAAATAACAAGCAAAATAGGAAATAAATAAAGAGGGCTGGGCGGCAATTCACAGCTATTCAAGAGGAGAATTTTCAGGAAAAACGCCCACCAATGTTGCTAAAAATGCTAAGTTTTATTATATAGAAATCTTGGACCTGATTTCCGAAATTGATTGAAGACTGTATGCATAGATTTTCCTTGTTGTACAGCCCTTAATTACTCCGATATTAGCATCATCCAGCAATCCTTCGAAACAAGGAAGAGGCAGTGGTCTGCTGCCTGAAATTCCACATTTCCCCTCATGCTAGGAGTAAATATTAACCACTTAGGAAATGAGGATGTCAAATTGAATTTGAATTAAGGCTTTGGTGAGTATATTTGCCCTCTGATATTTTATTGGGGTGCAGATTACTTTTGATAATTTCTTGTTCAATTTGCTCCTTTATGAAGTGTCTATCAATCTTGATAGGTTTAGTCCTATCAGGAAGGACAAGGTCTTTAGAAATAATGCTTGAAATTTAGATTTCACACTTCATTGATTCTTTAAAGTGAATTTTTAGGTATTCAAGAAACCTTTTGAGCCATGTCTCTTCACAAATTCTATAAGCCATGGCCCTAAATTCAGTTTCAGTGCTACTACTAACAATTATCATTTACTCTTACTTCAAGTGATTAGACATCCACATGCAAATTAGTAGAGCCAGAAGTGGATATAAGATCAATTATAGATTCAGCTTAGTTAGCATCATACTTCGATACTCCTATATGTTCCTTTCTTAAAGAATAGACATCTCCCTAATAAAGTTTTAAGATACATTAGTATCATATAGATTGCATCTAGATGTTCTTCAATGGGAGCATTCACAAATAAACTAACAACACTGATAGAAAAACATGTCGGGTGGAGTATGTGAATGGTAGATGAGTTTTCTAAGTAGGCGTTGACACTTCTCTTTGTCCATCTGAGTATCACCATTGGAGCCAATTTTACTAATAGGATTCATAGGGGTACTAGCAAGCTTTCATCCCATCATGCCTATTTGTTTTCAAAAGTCTAGAGTATACTTTTGTTGAGAAACAAGTTTAGTTCTTTTTGATCTTGTGATATCCATGTAAAGAAAATATTTTAAGGCTCAAAAGTCTATAATTTCAAATTTTATTGTTAGGATTCTTTTTTAGTTTGCTAATTTCCTCTTTATTATTACCAGTTAAAATAACATTATCAACATAAACTATAAAGAACGTGATTTTACATGTGGATAACTCTTTGACAAATAGAGTGTGATTAGTCTTCCCTTGAGAGCACCCACACTATCTAATCTTAGCAGTGAATTAGTTGAATAAGTTTCTTGGTGATTAGTTGAGACCATACAAGTATTTCTTAAGTTTGCAGACTTGATCTTTATTGTCAGTGGTCTCAAATCTAGGAGATATAGTCATAAATACTTCTTCAAGGTCCCCTTTAGGAAAGGGCTATTGACATCTAATTGGTGTATAGACCATCAAAGATTAGCAGTAAGAAAGAGAATGACCCGGAATGAGTTGACCTTAGCAATTGGTGCAAAAATTTCTTTATAGTTAAACCAGTAAATTTAGTTAAACCATTTTGTAATCAGTCTAATCTTATATCCTTCAATGCTCCCATCAACCATGTCTTTTTGTATTCAAAAATCACTCACACCAACAAGTTTCTTTTCTTTTTGTAAGATTAAGAGTTTTCATATGTCATTCATTTCAAGTGCTCATCTTTTTCATGGACAATAGTTCTCCATTCAAGTATTTTTAATATTTAATGAATATTGTTGGATGTTCATACTTTATATTAGAAAGATTAATTATAAAAGGATGAAAATAACAACAACACCAAGCCTTTATCCTACTACGTGGAGTCAGCTACATAAATCCTTTTTCTCCATTATGTCATGTTAAGGGTCAAATTCTCATTTAAATATAATAAAGAACTATCATTTCTAATATTTTCTAACCAAGTCTTTTTAGGTCTACCTCTATCTTTCTTAACATAAGTCAAATCTAATAAATCTACTCTCATAATTGAGTCAACGAAAGGTCTCTGTTTTATGTGACCAAACCATCCAGACAATTTTCTCTAATCTTATCTTCCACCGGAGCTATGATGGATTTGCCGACTTGATTGGAAGGGAATTAGAAAGTTTCCTAATCAAAAGGAATTTATTTAAGAAGGTTTTTAATCAAAGGGAAATTATTTAGGAAAATTTTAATAACAATTAGGAGGGAATTATTTAGGGTAAAAATCTAATTTGAATTCTAATTTGGGGGATTAATTAGGAGATTTTACTAATTAAAAATGGCATATTTAGGGTCTGATTTGGAGGGGATTAATTAGGAGATTTTTCCTAATTGGAGAGGGCAGATTTGGAGGCTGATTTGGGTTGAAAGGGAATTGGGGGAGGGTTATTTTGAACTTTATTGTTTGCTATAAGTAGTAGGGTTTACGTTATGTCTTATATATAGAATTTGATTTGAGACTGTTATAGTTTTCTTTTTGTGAGGGATCCTAATGGCGTCTAGGGTTTGGTCGAGAAGGACCTCCTCTCAAAAGAGGATCATTATACCTTGCTTTGTTTGTATTTGGTTTTCTATCAGTAAAAATCTATTTTTGTGATGAATCTCTTGGAGTTTGTTGCTGTTTTTGATACCAAGGCACATCAAATTGGTATTAGAGTACCTTTTTGGGACCTATGACACTAAAGAATGTGGAGGCATTGGAAAGGAAGATGGAGCAAATCAAATCCGATGTGGAGAAGAAGTTCTCAACAATGGAAGGAAGGTCTACATGTATGGTAAACTAATTGGGAAGGGTGGAGGAGATGTTAAGGAAACTCATGGAGATGTAAAACAAAACTCCATTGGTGGTTCCAATTGCTAAACCAAACCAATATTTGACCGGAATTCCCTTGGCCGAATCTAAGGTAAAGGAGATCGAGAAGAGTTTGATGAGGGAGTATCGGGAGGTGAAACTTTGGGGAAAGAAGAGGAGATGTCACCTTTGGAGCCACTTCCAAGGAGGGGAAAGGGTGAAGGAGTGAGATTTTTTGGTAGAGCTGCAGAGTTAGAAGGAGAAGAAGATAAAGAGAAGACAGAAGCACCAAACATAGTTCAGTCACTCCTACAATAGTATCGAGAGGCGTTCCAACCAGTTTAGGGGTTGCATCTTCCACAGGAACACGAGCATGCTATTATTTTAAAGGAGTCTTACATATCAGTGTTCATCCATACCGTTCTCCCCAACTCCAAGATGAGATCGAGAGATTGATCAGGGAGATGTTGGAACCATGGATCATTCGATTCAGTGATAGTCCATTTTTCAGTCCAGTGTTATTAGTCTAATGCTTCAACAGCAGTTTTCTTCGTTCCACCTTGAGTAAAAGATAGCACTTTGGGAGGGGAGTATTGGACTAGCCGATTTGATTGAGAGGGAATTAAGAAGTTTTCTAATCAAAAAGAAGCTATTTATGAAGGTTCTTAATCAAAGGGGAATTATTTAGGGAAATTTTTATTACAATTAAAAGGAAATTATTTTGGGCAAGAGATCTAATTTGAATTCTGATTTGGTGGGGATTAATTAGGAGATACTTTCTAATTAAAAAGGGCAGAATTGGGGGTTGATTCCGGGCTAATTTGGGGCTGATTTGAGAGGGAATTGGGGGAAGGCTGTTTTGAAATTTGTTGTTTATTGTTTGCTATAAGTAGTAGGATTTATGTTATGTTTTGTATATAGAATTTGATTTGAGAGCATTATAGTTTTCTTTTTGTGAGGGATTCTAGTGGCGCCTAGGATTTGGGAGAGAATGTCCTCACGAAAGAGGACCATTATATCTTGCTTTGTTCGTATTTGATTTTCTATCAATAAAAAACTATTTTTTGTTGAATCTCTTGGAGTTTGTTGTTGTTTTTTATACCTAGGTGCATCAAGCTACTCCAACCTTTTCACATATATGCTCGTTTCGTATACTGTCTCTAAGAGAAAAACCACTCATCCATCTGAGCATCCTCATCTCTATAGCACTTAACTTAATATTATGCTTCTCTTTTGATGGCCAACATTCTGCACCATAAAGCATTACAGGTCTCACCA